TGGGGACTGGGGACACCTGAGTGTGCAAGGGACACATCCTGGGGACAGGGGACACGTGTGTGTGAATGGGACACGCCCTGGGGACACTTGAGTGTGCAAGGGACACGCCCTGGGGACACCTGAGTGTGCAAGGGACACGCCCTGGGGACAGGGGACATGTGTGTGTGAACGGGACACGCCCTGGGGACACTTGAGTGTGCAAGGGACACGCCCTGGGGACACCTGAGTGTGCAAGGGACACGCCCTGGGGACAGGGGACATGTGTGTGTGAACGGGACACGCCCTGGGGACACTTGAGTGTGCAAGGGACACTCCCTGGGAACACCTGAGTGTGCAAGGGACATGCGCTGGGGACAGGGGACACATGTGTGTGAAAGGGGACACGCCCTGGGGACACCTGAGTGTGCAAGGGACACACCCTGGGGACAGGGGACACATGTGTGTGCAAGGGACACGCCCTGGGGACACGTGTGTGTGAAAGGGGACATGCCCTGGGAACACCTGAGTGTGCAAGGGACACACCCTGGGGACAGGGGACACCTGAGTGTGCAAGGGACACACCCTGGGGACACCTGAGTGTGCAAGGGACACGCTCTGGGGACACCTGAGTGTGCAAGGGACATGCGCTGGGGACAGGGGATACGTGTGTGTGAAAGGGGACAAGCCCTGGGGACACCTGAGTGTGCAAGGGACACACCTTGGGGACAGGGGACACCTGAGTGTGCAAGGGACACGCCCTGGGGACATTCCAATGTCCACGACACACCTGGGGTCACTTGGGGACATCTGGGCACACCTGGGGACATCTTTGCGTGCCCCCTTGCACACTTCCCCCCCCCTTGCACACTCCTCTGCCCCCCCCACCAGCTCACCTGCACCCTCAGCCCCCCCCGGCCCCTCCGCCCTCACACCCACGGTGCCACCCCGGTGTCACCCCCGTGTCACCCCCGTGTCTCAGTGTCACCCACACGTCACCGTGTCACCCACGTCACCCCCGTGTCACCTGCTGTGTTGCCGTGTCACCCGCATGTCTCAGTGTCACTCCCATGTCACCCACATTACCCACATCACCCGAGTGTTTCAGTGTCCCCCCGTGTCCCCCCGTGTCCCCCACAGTGTCCCCAAGATGTCACACTCGGGCCCAGTCCCGCGGGTCCTTTATTTACAGGGTCTATACACGGCTGTACAGCCCCTCCCCCAGCCCGGGGGGGAGGGGACACGGCTGTCCCCAGTGCCACCCAGCCCGGGGGGGTTTGGGGGGACACGGCTGTCCCCAGTGCCACCCAGCCCGGGGGGGTTTGGGGGGACACGGCTGTCCCCAGTGCCACCCAGCCCGGGGGGGTTTGGGGGGACACGGCTGTCCCCAGTGCCACCCAGCCCGGGGGGGTTTGGGGGGACACGGCTGTCCCCAGTGCCACCCAGCCCGGGGGGGTTTGGGGGGACATGGGGGCTCCTGCCCCACTCGGTCCTGGGGAGTTTGGGGAGTCCTCGGGGGTCCCCGGTGTCACCACGAGTGTCCCTAGCCCGCGGTTGGTGGCACCTGGGGACAGGAGCTTGTCCTGGGCTTGGTGGTGTCCCCAAGCCAGTGACCACAGGGAGATGGCACTTGGGGACCAGAGTTCATCCTTGACCCCACGCCAGCAGGGAGGGGACACCTGGGGACAGCAGCTTGTCCTGGGGCTCGTCCCCAAGCCTGTGATGGCAGGGAGGTGGCACTTGGGGACCAGAGTCCATCTCTGAAGCAGGGAGGTGGCACTTGGGGACCGGAGAATGTCCTTGAGCTCGGTGGTGTCCCCAAGCCTGTGCCAGCAGCAAGGTGACACTTGGGGACTGAAGAATGTCCTGGGGCTTTGGTGGTGTCCCCAACTCCATGTGCCAGCAGGGAGGTGACACGAATGTCCTGGGGCTTGGTGGTGTCCCCAACTCCATGTGCCAGCAGGGAGGTGACACTTGGGGACCAGAGTCTTTGCTTGACCCCACACCAGCAGGGAGGTGACACCCGGGGACCGCAGCCAGTCCTGGGGCACTGTCCTTGTCCCCAGCCCCACACCAGCAGGGAGGTGACACAGTCCTGGGGCACTGTCCTTGTCCCCAACCCCACACCAGCAGGGAGGTGACACCCAAGGACCAGAGTCCATCTTGACCCCACACCAGCAGGGAGGTGACACCCGGGGACCGGAGCGGAGGGGACAGAGCCAGGCGGGCGCGGGGGGGGGGCTGGCCGTGCCCTGGCTGTCCCCAGGTGTCCCCAGGTGTCCCCAGGTGTCCCCCCGGGGCCCGGCTCACACCAGGTGGCCGCGGCCGTTGATGTAGATGCCGTTGGAGCTGGGCTTGGCCTGCAGCATCCCGTTCTCCTGCACGAAGTGCGTCATGGCCGCCTTGATGGGGTCCCCCCCGCCGCCCCCCTCCTCCTCCTCCTCCTTGGGCTCCTTCCCGCCGGGCGGCGGTGGCACCGCGGGGACAGCGGGGACAACGGGGACGTCGGTCTGCGTCTCGATCTCCCGCACCGTGGAGAGCGTGGAGTAACTGCGGCCCTCGGGCTCCTCGCTCTGGGGACAAGGGACAAGGGACACATCAGGGGCGCCACCGGGCGTGGGGTGGGGATTGGTGGGGACGTGGGCACCGTGGGGACATGGGGACCAGTGGGGACATGGAGACCATGGGGACATTTGGGGACATGGGCACCGTGGGGACATGGGAACCAGTGGGGATGTTGGAACCATGGGGACATGGGGACATATGGGGACACAGGGACCAGTGGGGACATAGAAAACCAATGGGGACATGGCATTGATGGGGACATGGGCACAGTGGGGACATGGGGACCAGTGGGGACATGGAGACCATGGGGACATATGGTGACATGGGGACCAGTGGGGACATGGGGACATATGGGGACACAGGGACCAGTGGGGACATAGAAAACCAATGGGGACATGGCATTGATGGGGACATGGGCACCGTGGGGACATGGGGACCAGTGGGGACATGGAGACCATGGGGACATGGGGACATATGGGGACATGGGCACTGCTGGGGACATGGGGACCAATGGGGACAAAGGGAGACCAATGGGGACATGGTCACCATGGGGAGAGGAGCACTGTGGGGACATGGCATTGATGGGGACATGGGCACCATGGGGACATGGAGACCATGGGGACATGGTCACCATGGGGAGAGGAGCACTGTGGGGACATGGCATTGATTGGGGACATGGCATTGATGGGGACATGGGCACCATGGGGACATGGAGACCATGGGGACATGGTCACCATGGGGAGAGGAGCACTGTGGGGACATGGCATTGATGGGGACATGGGCACCGTGGGGACATGGGGACCAGTGGGGACATGGAGACCATGGGGACATGGGGACATATGGGGTGGGGACATGGCCTTGGTGCATGGGGACCAATGGGGACAAAGGGAGACCAATGGGGACATGGTCACCATGGGGAGAGGAGCACTGTGGGGACATGGCATTGATGGGGACATGGGCACCATGGGGACATGGAGACCATGGGGACATGGTCACCATGGGGAGAGGAGCACTGTGGGGACATGGGGACCAGTGGGGACATGGCATTGATGGGGACATGGGGACCAGTGGGGACATGGCCACCATGAGGACATAGGGACTGCTGGGGACATGGACAGTGCTGGGGACATGGGTGCCACCAAGGACATGGCCACCATGGGGACATTTGGGACATGGGCACTGACCAGAACAAGGACAAGGACAGGGACACCAGTGGGGACATGGGGAGGACCAGGTGATGTGGGCACCATGGGGACACGGACATCACCAGTGACACGGGCCCTGTGGGGGACACGGTGCCACTGGGGCCAGGAGTGTCACTGGGGACAGGGACACGGTGACCCCGTGTCCCCCGGTGTCCCCCGTGTCTCACCATGGCGGAGCAGATGCTGGTGCCACGCAGGCTGTCCCCTCGCAGGCTGTCCCCTCGCAGGCTGTCCCCTCTCAAGCTGTCCCCTCGCAGGCTGCCCTGGCGACTCTCCGTCCGCAGCTGCAGCGTCTCCTCCAGCTGGGACAGGCTGGTCAGCGCCCAGGACACCCCCGGACACCCCCGGACACCCCCAGACACCCCAGAACACCCCCAGACACCCCATGGACCACCCATGGACACCCCATGGACACCCATGGACACACCAAGGACACCCCATGGACACCCCATGGACTCCCCAGGACACCCCATGGACACCCCATGGACATGCCTGGCATGTCCCTCCATGTCCCCATGTCCCCCCCAGACACCCCATGGACAACCCATGGACACCCCATGAACACCCATGGACACACCAAGGACACCCCATGGAAACCCCAAGGACACCCCAGGACACCCCATGGACACCCCAAGGACACTCCATGGACACCCCATGGACATCCCATGGACATGCCTGGAGACCCCATGGACATTCCAGGGACACCCCAAAGTCTGACCCCATGGACACCCCAAAGTCTGACCCCATGGACATTCCAGGGACACCCCAAAGCCCGACCCCATGGACACCCCATGGACATTCCCCAGTTTGATTCCATGGAGACCCCACGGATATCCCAAAGTCTGATCCCAACCCCCCTTCCTTGGGCACCCCAAGGCCCTGCACCCCCCCAGGCCCCCCCAGCCCCTCTGGGGGGGGCTCCCCAAGCCCCTCCCAGGCCCCCCCGGTTTCCGTGTCCCCACCTGTGCCCGGGGGTCGCTGCTGTGGCTGGAGTGGAGCCTCCGGATGGAATTTTCCCGGGTCAGCGTCAGCTCCTCCTCGCTGGGGACACGGGGGACACTCAGCACCGGCCCCGTGTCATCCCCCCTGTCCCCACGCGTCCTGCTGTGTCCTTCTGTGCCCCCCACCCATGTCGTCCCTTGTCCCCTCGTGGCCGTGTCCATCTCCCACATCCCCTGTGTCACCCCTGTCCCCCGTGTCCCCTGTGTCCTCCCTTGTCCTGCTGTGTCCCCCGTGTCCCTATTGTCCTGCCATGTCCTCTGTGTCTATCCCATGTCCCCATTGTGTCCCCGTGTGTCCCCCTGCATCTTCCTGTCTCCCTTTTCCCCCTGTCCCCCACATCCCCCATGTCCCCATGTCCCCCAGTGTCCCTTGTGTCCCCATGTCCCTATGTCCCTCCATGCACCTGTGTCCGCCAGTGTCCCCTGTGTCCCCCAATGTCCCTCCATGTCCCCTTGTGTCCCATGATCCTCCATCTCCCTGTGTCCCCATATCCCTCCATGTCCCCATGTCCCCCAGTGTCCCCATGTCCCTCCATGTCCCCATGTCCCCCTGTGTCCCCATGTCCATCCGTGTCCCCATGTCCCTCCATGTCCCCATGTCCATCCATGTCCCGCCATGTCCCCATGTCCCCTGTGTCCCATGTCCTTCCATGTACCTGCATCCCTCTGTGTCCCCCCATGTCCCCATGTCCCTCAATGTCCCCCATGTCCATCCTTGTCCCTTGTGTCCCCATGTCTCTCCATGTCCCCATGTCCCCCACGTCCCTTGTGTCCCCTGCATCCCCATGTCTCTCCATGTACTGTGTCCCCCCGTGTCCCCCCGTGTCTCCCCCGTGTCCCCACGTCCCCTCCCTTACTACTTCTCGGAGATGCGCTGGGTCTTGCGTTTGTGGTACAGGGTCATGACCACCACGACGATGACGAGGACGCAGAGCAGGACGGCGGCGATGACCCCGACCACGACCACCGAGGCCGACACCAGGTCCACGCGGCGCACCGTGTCCTCTGCGGGCACCCCACGGGGGTCAGGGGACACCCCGGACCAGGGGGACACCCCACGGGGGTCAGGGGACACCCCAAACCAGGGGGACACCCCACGGGGGTCAGGGGCACGATCAGATGGATGAGTGGATGGATGGGTGGAGGAGCGGACAGAAGGGAGGATGAGTGGACAGAAGGACAGATGAGGTGGATGACCAATGGGTGGGGATGGACAGTGAGAGGTGTCATGGGGGAGACCCCAAAGGGGTCAGGGGACACCCCAAAAGGTGGTGTGGGACAGTGGGTGACCAGTGGGTGGGGATGGACAGCAAGAGGTGTCAGAGGGACAGATGGACAATCCATGGACAAGTCCATGGACGGGCAGATGGATGGACACATGGACAAGTCCATCCATGGATGGAGGGGTGTCCATGAGGAGACGGACTGACAAGGACATCCAGGGGTGGGAGGATGGACGGATGGACAATCCATGGATGGACAAGGCCATGGACGGTGGGTGGATGACCAATGGGTGGGGATGGACAGTGAGAGGTGTCAGAGGGACAGACAGATGGATGGATGGATGGAGGAGCGGACGGAAGGGAGGATGAGTGGACAGAAGGACAGATGAGGTGGATGACCGATGGGTGGGGATGGACAGTGAGAGGGGTCAGAGGGACAGACAGATGGATGGATGGATGGAGGAGCGGACGGAAGGGAGGATGAGTGGACAGAAGGACAGATGAGGTGGATGACCGATGGGTGGGGATGGACAGTGAGAGGGGTCAGAGGGACAGACAGATGGATGGATGGATGGAGGAGCGGACGGAAGGGAGGATGAGTGGACAGAAGGACAGATGAGGTGGATGACCGATGGGTGGGGATGGACAGTGAGAGGGGTCAGAGGGACAGACAGATGGATGGATGGATGGAGGAGCGGACGGAAGGGAGGATGAGTGGACAGAAGGACAGATGAGTGGACGGAAGGGCGGGTGTGAGCAGGCAGTGAGTAAAGCCAGGCTGGATGAGCACACGATGAGTGGATGGGCGTGGAAGAGGGATGGACCTTGGAGGGATGGGCACAGGATGGGAGGAGCGGAGGAGGGAGGGACAGGATGGGTGGATCAGTGAATGAATGGATGTGTGGATGGACAGATGGACAGATGGGCGGGTGGATGAGTGAATGAATGGATGGACGGATGAGTGGACAGATGGGTGGGTGGACAAGGGGATGAGTTGACAGATGGATGGATGGATGGATGGATGGATGGATGGATGGATGGATGGATGGATGGACGGACAAGTGGATGGTCAGATAAACAGACAGACAGATGGACATACAAACAGATGCAGAAACCAAGCCCAGCACTCCCCTCAGCACACCCTGTCCATTCTGCCACCACCACCCTCGGAGGTGTCCCCGCTGCCCTGTCCCCACCTGTGGCACGTCCCCGGATGCTGACGTTGGCCCGCGCCTCCTTGGCGGCCACGCGGTTGGACACTCGGCACACGTAGTCGCCGGCGTCGGCCACGGCCAGCGGCCGCTGGAACAGCAGCGTGTCCCCCTTGACCCTGACACCCGCGGGCAGCGGCGCGTCCACCCTGCGGGGACAGCCCGGTGTCACCCCCGTGACAGCCCTGGTGACATCTCCCCATGACAGCCCCGCTGACAACCCCAGTGACAGCCCTGGTGTCAGCCCCGGTGACAACCCCAGTGACAACCGCAGTGACAACCCCAGTGACATCTCCTGGTGACAACTCCAGTGACAACCCTGGTGTCAGCCCCAGTGACAACCCCAGTGACAACCGCAGTGACAACCCCAGTGACATCTCCTGGTGACAACTCCAGTGACAACCCCTGGTGACAACCTCTGGTGACATCTCCCAGTGACAGTCCCCAGTGACACCTCCCCATGACAGCCCCCGGTGACAACCCCTGGTGACATCTCCTGGTGACAACCCCAGTGACATCTCCTGGTGTCAGCCGCAGTGACAGCCCCCAGTGACATCTCCCCATGACAGCCCCCGGTGACAACCCCTGGTGACATCTCTCGGTGTCAGCCACAGTGACAGCCCCCAGTGACAGCCCCTGGTGACAACCCCAGTGACATCTCCTGGTGTCAGCTGCAGTGACAGCCCCCAGTGACAGCCCCTGGTGACAACCCCAGTGACACCCCCCAGTGACACCCTCCGGCCTGCCCGGGCGGGTGGCGGTGGCGGCATCAAAGCCGGCGGTGCCGGTTCCCACGGGTGACGCCCAGCCGGGCACCGCGGGGCCTGCCCGGGCACGCGGCACTGCCGGGCCCAGCCACGGCGGCACCGGCACCGGCACGGGACGGGCGTGGGCAGGGACTGGGGGTGGGGAGGTGTGGCAGGGACTGGGGGACGTGGCAGGGACAGGGGGACGTGGCAGGGACAGGGGGATGTGGCTGGGACAAGGGTGACACAACAGGGACATGGGCACAGGGACATGGCAGGGACAGGGGATGTGGCAGGGACAGGAGGGACACAGCAGGGACAGGGGGATGTGGCAGGGACCGGGAGGGACCAACACAGGCAGCGGGGACACAGCAGGGACATGGGACACAGCCAGGACACAGCAGGGACACGGTCGGGGGACACAGTGGGGACAGAGTTGGGGCAAGGGACACCACAGGGACACCACAGGGACACCGCAGGGACACCACAGGGACACAAACATGCTCCAGACCCCGGCAGGGACACAGGGGGACACAGGCAAGGGGTCCCAGGGCAGAGGGCCATGGGAAGGTGACAGGGGGTGACAGGAGGTGACAGGGGGTGACAGGGGGTGACAGGGGGTGACAGGAGCCTCACCGTGTCCAGTTGTAGGTCGGGGGGGGGTTGCCGTCCCCCAGGCAGGTCAGCGCCGCCCCCTCCATGCCCTCCTGCCACTCGGCCGTGTGGCCCAGCACCGACGCGTCCGACAGGTCTGGGGACACCGAGGGGACACTCAGGGGACAAGGTCCCCCGGCCCTGCTGTGCCCTCCATGGCCACGGTGTCCCCCTGTGTCCCTCATCCTCCCCATGCCCAATGTCCCACCCTCCGTGTCCCCAAGGTCCTCCATGCCAGCATCCCCCAGTGTCACCTGTGTCCCCACAGTCCCAATGCCACCTGCGTCCCCCATGTCCCCAGCACCCTCCCTCTGCCCAGTGTCCCCAATGTCACCAAAGTCCCCAAAGTCCCCAGTGCTCCCCACGATTTCCATGTCCCCAATGTCCCCCATATCTCTCAGTGTCCCTCCATGTCCCCAGTGCCCTCCATGTCCCCAATGTCCCCCTCACCCTCCACATCCCCTGCGCCCAGGATGTCCCCAAGACCCTCTGTGTCCCCAGTGTCCTCCACACCTCTCAATACCCCCAGCACATCTGTGTCCCTCAAGGCTCCCCGTGTCCCCACTGCCCATCGTGTCCCCAAGGCCCCCATGTCCCCAATGCGCCCCCCACATCCCCAGTGCCCCCCACATTCCCAACACCCTCCATGTCCCCAACCCTCTCCATGTCCCCTGTCAACCTCCATGTCCCCAATGCCCATCATGTCCCCAATGCCCACCATGTCCCCAAGAGCCTCCATGTCCCCAATGCCCACCATGTCCTCAACACCCTTCATGCCCCCCATGTCCCCAATGCCTCCAACACCCTCCACATCCCCCATGCCCCCCATGTCCCCAGTGTCCCCAACACCCTCCATGCCCCCCGTCACCCCCAGTGTCCCAAACACCCTCCACACCCCCCATCCAATGTCCCCAACACCCTCCACATCCCCCACGCCCCCAATGTCCCCAAGACCCCCCACCCCCGGCGTTGCCCGCTGGCGCACAGGCGACGCTGAGCAGGTGCGTGATCCTCTTCTCGTGGCGCAGGCCGGGGTGTGCCACCACGCAGGTGAGGCTCTTGCCGTTCATGCTGCGCCCGGGCACCAGGAAGAACTCGCTGGTGACCGAGGCCGAGCGCGCGTGGGCCGAGCGCCGCGTGGCGTTGGTGCCGCGCACCTCGGTCTCCCAGCGCACCGAGGGCACCGGGCTGCCCTCGGCCGTGCACGAGGCCGCCAGCGTCCGGCCCTGGCCCTCCTCCAGCGGCGGGCCCGGGTTCAGGATGGGCAGCGGGGGCACTGCGGGGGGGACACGGCGGTCAGGGGCGCGGTGGGGACGGCGGTTTATTGGGTTTATTGGGTTTATTGGGTGTCTGGGGTGTCTGCGTGGCACCGGTGCCCGTTGTGTCCCCAAAGTCCTCAAATCCCCCATGCCCATGGTGTCCCCTCTGCTCTCCACGTGCTCCATTGTCCCCTGTGTCCCCCATGACTCCCATGTCCCATGTGTCCCATGTCCCCCGTGTCCTGTGTCTCACGTCCCCCATGTCCTTTACACCCCCCATGTCCCAAGTGCCCCATGTCCCCTGTGCCCACCATACCCCCTGTGTCCTGTGTGCCCCATGTCCCCTCTCCCGAGTGCCCCACATGTCCCACATGCCCTACATGTCCCAGATCCCCATCCCCACATGTCCCACATGCCCCATGTCCCCATACCCACCACGTCCCCCATGTCCCACATGCCCCATGTCCCCATGTCCCCCTATACCCCCTATGTCCCGTGTCCCACGTGTCCCCTGTCCCCGTGTCCCCCATGTCCCACATGTCTCCTGTCCCTGTGTGCCCCATACCCCCCACGTCCCCTGTGTCCTACGTGTCCCCCGTCCCCGTGTCCCCCATACCCACGTCCCCTGTGTCCCATGTGTCTCCTGTCCCTTGTCCCCCATACCCCCCACATCCCCTGTGTCCTATGTGTCCCCCGTCCCCATGTCCATACCCCCCACATCCCCTGTGTTCCACGTGTTCCCCGTCCCGTGTCCCCTGTCCCCACGTCCCCCAAACCCACACCCACGTCCCCCGTGTCCCCCGTGTCCCGTGTCCCCGCGCTCACCCAGCACCCTGAGCGTGAGGCGCCCCTCGAAGTTGCCCATGGGGAAGGTGATCAGGTGGCACTCGTAGTCGCCCTCGTCGCCCTGCACGGCGTTGCGCAGGACGATGGCGCCGTCGCCCAGGTCGCCGTGGCCGTGGCGCAGCACGCGGCCCGCGAAGGGCTCCTGCACGTGCTCGCCGTGCTGCGGGTTCAGCACGGCCACCTCGGCGGGCACCGCGCCCGGGCCGCGCTTCAGCCACGTCACCTGCACCACCTGCTCCTGCTCCTGCGCCCGGTACCGGCACGGCAGCACCACGTCCTGCCCCAGCACGGCCGTCACGCTGCGCGGCACCTCCACGCGGCCGCCGCCTGCGGGACACGGGGGACAGCTGAGGGACACCTGGGGGACACCTGGGACACCTCAGTGTGACACCTGGGACACCTGGGACACCTCAGTGTGACACCTGGGACATCTGGGACACCTGGGGGACACCTGAGTGTGACGCCTGTCTGTGGGTACAGGCACCTCCACGCGGCCGCCGCCTGCGGGACACGGGGGACAGCTGAGTGGGACACCTGGGGGACACCTGGGACAGCTGAGTGTGACACCTGGGACAGCTGGGACACCTGGGACACCTGAGTGTGACACCTGTCTGTGGGTAGAGGCACCTCCACGCGGCCGCTGCCTGCGGGACACGGGGGACAGCTGAGGGACAGCTGGGGGACACCTGGGACACCTCAGTGTGACACCTGAGGGACAGCTGGGGGACACCTGGGACACCTAAGTGTGACACCTGTCTGTGGGTACAGGCACCTCCACGCGGCCACCGCCTGCGGGACAGGGGGAAAGCTGAGTGGGACACCTGTGTGTGACACCTGGGACACCTAAGTGTGACACCTGTCTGTGGGTACAGGCACCTCCACGTGGCCGCCGCCTGTGGGACACGGGGGACAGCTGAGGGACAGCTGGGGGACATCTGAGTGTGACACCTGGGGGACACGGGGCACAGCTGAAGGACAGCTGAGGGACACCTGGGACACCTGAGGGTAACACCTGGAACACCTGGGACACCTGAGTGATGCCGGGGGTACACCTGAGTGACACCTGTCTCTGGGTACAGGCACCTCCACATGGACACTGCCTGCGGGACAGGGGACACCTGAGTGACACCTGTGACACCTGTGTGTGACACCTGAGGGACACCTGAGAGACACCTGGAACACCTGAGTGTGGGTACAGGCACCTCCACGCGGCCACTGCCTGCGGGACAGGGGACAGCTGAGGGACACCTGAGTGTGACACCTGGGACACCTGAGGGACACCTGAGTGTGTCACCAGGTGTGGCACCGAGCAGGCACAGGGATGTGCGGGGGGACACGGTGGGGACAGAGATGTGGCACCTCCACCCGCCCCCACCTGCGGGGACACACGGGGACCTCAGCGTGACCCCTGCGTCACCCGTGGGCACCAGGTGTGATTCCAGGTGTGCAAGGGGCTGTGGGGCAGCCACGTGTGCCCTGTGCCACCACCTGTGGGCACCTGGGGTGATTCCAGGGGTGTGAGAGCACACCTGGACACACTCACACACACCTGGGCACACCTGGGGACAATCACACACACCTGGGCAGGGGGCCGAAACAGCCCCGGCAGCGGGGACCGGGGGGTCCCGGGGGCGTTTGGGGGGGGTCCCCCCAAACTCCCACGGGGGTCCCCGTGGGGTAGAACCCCGCGATGGGGGGAGGGGGAGCCGCTCGGGGCGGTTTTTTTCCCACGGGGACGCGCGCGCACGTGCGGGGCCACCCCCTGTCCCCTCACCCCGGGGGGGGGGACACGCGCACGGAGGGACCACACTCACACACACCTGGGCATACCTGTAGGATTTGGGGTTCAGGTTGGGGGGCTGGCTGGGCTTTGGGGTGCAGGATTTGGGGACTGGCTGAGGTTTTGGGGGAAGGTTTGTGGTTGAGAATTTAGGGTGCAGAATGTGGGGTGCCGGATTTGGGGAGCAGATTTGGGGAGCAGGATTTAGGGTGCAGAATGTGGGGTGCCGGATTTGGGGAGCAGATTTGGGGAGCAGGATTTAGGGTGCAGGATTTGGGGTGCAGTTTTGGGGAGCAGATTTGGGGTGCAGAATGTGGGGTGCAGGATTTGGGGGGCAGTTTTGGGGAGCAGTTTTGTGGTGCAGATTTGGGATGCAGGGTTTGGGGTGCAGGATTTGGGGGTGCAGTTTTGGGGAGCAGTTATGGGGTGCAGATTTGGGGTGCAGGATTTGGGGTGCAGATTTGGGGTGCAGTTTTGGGGGCTGGATTTGGGGAGA